TGCATTTTTTTTCAGAGAAGAGCTCTGGCTTTTGTTAGACTCAAAAAGGGGTGTGTGACCCATTGTTCTTTGCTCCTCAAGCTGTTCTTCCAAAGTATCAGAACAGGGGCTTCATGGAGCAGGGAAAGGCGAGAGCTGGGAAAGCCAAGGGAGCTGTGAGCTCCAGGATCTTGTGCACAGGCCTGTCACCTGGACATTGCTGATGCCTTGGGGATGGAAAGGGGTCACTGTCATGGGGTCTGCTGACCACACTTGCTCAATCACTTGCTTACTCCCTGTCCCACCTCTAGGCCTTGTACGACTACGTTCCTAGTGAGAATGATTTACAGCCCCTGCTGGCCTGGCTTAAAGTCATGGAGAAAGCCCACATCAACCTAGTCAGGTAGGAACAAGGTGGAGGGGTGTATCAGGGGCTCAGGTCAGGCTGCCTGTCCTAAGATGCAGATGGGAGGGACATGAGCTGGAAGTTGGAGAGGCTGATCAGCTTCCTGGGACTGGTGGCATCTCCATGGACAGTGCTACAGGGCAGCTCTGGGCTTTGTGAGGCCTGGGTTAGGAGAGCACAGCCCATTTTAGCCAGTTTGCTTCTTTTCCTGCCAGATCGTTTACCAGCTAACTGTATGGAATAGCAAGGTGGCCTGAGAGTGCCACGCAGCAGGTTGAGGCCTCAATTTGTTCCTGATTCTTGTCGCTCTCCATACTATCCGGTGCACTTGGCTTCTATGCCAGAGAGCATCTGTTCTCTCACTCCACTCCCACCTGGGCTAATGGCACCCTTCTCTGGGTCATAGTCTTTGTGAACCAAGTTTGTGCTTTGTGTGTTTGTGTATATTCAGGATTGGGGCCTTGGCCACCCAATAGTACTGGGTAATGTCATGTTTCCAGAATAAGGCTAAGAAGAAAATGAGCATGCAGTAGTCAGTTGGTGACTTGCATGTAGGTGGAGGGCCCCACCGCCCTGTGGCTCCACCATGCTGGGTCTGTCTTCACACAGCAGAAGGGTTCCCACATTCTGCTTTGACCCAGGCATGTCACAGGTCAACCTAAGTGTCCCATGGGGCATTAGTTAAATATAAACAGTGAAATACTATGTGGCAAGGAGATGTATATACTCATGTGGAAATGACTCCAAGATACATTGAGAAAAAGCAAGATTCAGACAGCGGGCGTGGTGTGATTATTTGTATTTGTATACTCGGGAACCAGCCTGCCAGGGTTTGAAGCCTGTCCTCACTACGCCAAGCTGTGTGGCCTTCAGCAAATTACTTGACTTCTCTGTGTCTCATCTATAAAATGGGAATTGTAGTAGTGTCTCATTTGTTGCAAGGTTTAAATGCATTAATGTATGTTGTCATGGTAGTGGTTGGTGTATGATGTGTTCTGTAAATGTCAGCAATTGTTATTTTGTACATTTGTATATACATAAAAACTTCTGAAGTTCATTTGAGGGTTTGGTTGGAAGAGGAGTATGTTAAGGAAGGCATGTCCTTCATCTTGCACACAGAAGACCTATTTGAATTTTTTATTATGTGTAGTTATTTGTTTTTTGTTCCCATTTTTATTTTTATTTTTATATATTTTTATTGTTTGAAATTAATTGAGGGTACAAAGAGTTAGTTTACACTGATTGCATTTGTTAGGTAGTCCTTCTTATAATCGTGTCCTGCCCCTAAAAGGTGGGCCATACACCATGACCCCTCATCCCCTTCCCTCTTGCCCTCTTGCCCTCTACCCACTCCCTCATTCCCCTACTCCACCCCTTGTATTAGCTCATCTACTGCCTTCATATTAGAATTGAGTACATTGGATTCTTGCTTCTCCATTCTTATGATGCTTTCCTAAGGAGAATATGTTCCACCTCCATCTAGATTAATACAAAAGATGTAAAGTCTCCATACTTTTTAATGGCTGAGTAATATTCTATGGTATACATATACCACAGCTTGTTGATCCATTCCTGGAGTGGTGGGCATTTGGGTTGTTTCCACATTTTGGCTATTGTAAATTGAGCTGCAGTAAATAGTATACTGCAAATGTCCCTATGACAAAATGATTTTTTTTCTTCTGGGTAGATGCCTAGTAATGGGATTACAAAATCAAATGAGAGGTCTGATTTGAGTTCTTTGAGGATTCTCCATATTTGCTTCCAAAAAGGTTGTACTAGTTTGCAGTCCCACCAGCAATGTAAAAGTTCCCTTCTCTATATTTCTTGAATGAATGACAGTAGCTTTTTAAAAATCACCCACCAGAAGGGTCCTGTGGGGCCCTGCAGATCAGTGATTATTTTCAGACCTGGGCCATCTAAGGGCTGAGTCCCTAAGACTCAGGGGCAGGCCCCACAGAAACCATTTGTCTTGACAGGTTGCAGCGGGACCTGGGACTAAGCCACCTCCCTCGCTTTTTTGGAACTGCAATGACCTGCCTCCTCTCCCCGCACTTGCAGGTTGTGACAGCTGCCACCCAGAGCCTCAAGGTAGTGTACCTTCAACTGAGGCATAGTGAACACAGGAGGTTTTGTGGGCTGTCCTGTATCTCCCAGTGCTTAGTCCTCGGGAGGAGGTTCTCATGAGACAGGCCTTGGAAGCTTCAGGAAGTGTTTACCTGGGTGGGATGAGTGGCCTTGAGGCTGCCTTGGGCCCAAACAGCCTGTGCCCTCTTTCCACAGGAAATTCTGAAAGAGTGTGTGGCTTCCCACATGGCTGACATTGGTTCTGTGACCTCCTCGGCCACCGGCCCTGCCCAGTCCATTGCCAAGATGTTCAGGTGAGAATATCATGTCTGCATCAAGAGGGGAAGGGGGTACCTTATATAAGGTTCTGTGTAAGTCTGGGTGTGGTGGCTCACACCTGTAATCCTAGCAATCTGGTGGGAAGATCCCTTGAGCACAGAAGTTCAAGATCAGCTGAGCAAGAGCGAGATCCTATCTCTACTAAAAATTAGCTAGGCGTAGTGGTACAGGCCTATAATCTCAGCTGCTTGGGAGGCTAAGGCAGGAGGATCACTTGAGTCCAGGAGTTTGTGGTTAAAATGAGCCATGACAGTGCCACTGCACTCTAGTCTCTGTGAGTAGACCCTCAAAGAGTTTATATGTAATGACAAGCATTTCACCTTTGCATACTATGGGCCATGCACACTGTGCTGGGCGCTTGGTGGGATTTCAGGCTGCCTACTGAACATCAGCCAGAGCAGCTACTGCCAATTCAAGCACATTCCACATTTCAGGAGCACGTACAACAAGAAAGGTGCCCTAGTGTGGTGCTTAAGAGTGTGGACTCTGGGGCCAGATGCAGTGGCTCATGCCTGTGATTCCAGCACTCTGGGAGGCCGAGGCAGGTGAATTGCCTGAGCTCACAGGATTGAGACCAGTCTGAGCCAGAGTGAGATCTTGTCTCTAAAAATAGTTGGGTACCATGGCAGGCGCTTATAGTCCCAGCTACTTGGGAGGCTGAGGCAAGAGTGTGAGGATGCTATGAGCTATGACTCCACAGCACTCTGCTGAGGGCAACAAAGTGAGACTGTCTCAAAAAAAAAAAAAAGACTAACAATATTGTAATAAACATCTTAAAAAAAAAAAGAGTTTGGGCTCGGCGCCTGTGGCTCAAGC